ACGTTTTCACCACCAGTTCCCTTTTTTTATCACAAATTCACAAAATAGTCGTGGTTTTAATCAGCCTCTTTCTTCGGGAGACTGGACAAAAATAGCTAATTTTTTTTAAATAAAACTGAAAATTTACTCAAATTTGTTGGCTTATTAGAGTTCATTTCCAGAAATATTGAAGAACGAAAGAAAAAAGTGTTTCATTTTGTTCCCTTTTTTTTTATGTTGTACACGCTGTAATATTAAGCAAGAATTGTATTGCTGTATCAAATGATCAAATGATAAGTGGAAACTTCAATGACATCAGCATAGTCTATGACCTCAAAACTAGGTTTGTATTTGGAATTTATCCATTCCTGACCAACACAGGCATTTCATTGGTTCAATGTTTATGAGAAAAACAAACAATACAAGATTTATTGATGTTTAAACATCACATAAATGCCACATCACTGTTCTTTTGAATACTGTGATTGGTCAAGAGGCCACACCACCATAGCTTCCATAGCTCTGATTGGTCAACCAGAAACAGACATTCAGAATGACCCAAATTATTGATACATTGTTAGTGAATAACACATTTAATTGGGTAAAACCAACAAAATAATGATTACTGTAAAAATGACAGATGTGTTTTTCTGATTAAAATAAGTCATATTTAAGCAATCAGCATAAAATTTTTGGTTTGTGTGCACACCTATTGGAAATGTCCTTTTAATAGAACAAATATGCTAATCACGTCATTACAGTAGCGATCAGTTTGGTAAATGACAATCATGATCCGAGGTATGGCAAATTGGAGATTTCAAAAAACTAATAAAGTTAAATAAAGTTATTTAATATGTATATTAACGAAGAGAAGTTTCAAGTTACAATAACGGTAACATGAATACGTACAAATTATAGTATCATTGTATGATTTCAGATAAAATATATTTTAAAAATTCAGACAAGAATTGTTAGTTTGTAACTCAATAATGAATTTTTAAATAATTTAAAACATGTAAGTAGTCTAAATTACTTTCAAAGAGAGAAAGTCACAGTGAGTTCGATATCATCCCACTTACTGTAAAATACTTTATTTTCGCTTGGAATTAATTTTTGCTGTTTTCGGTGAAGGAATGATTCAGTGAAAATAAAATCCAGCGTATATTTCTTTTTTCCTATATTTTACATTCAAGTCGTCAGAAATCAGTGCAAATAAATTCCACACAAAACAACCAAAAAGTCTTTTCAGCAAAAATTAATTCCAGCTAAAATAAAGTATTTCACAGTATTTGAGATTGTCTATATAAAAAAATTGTACAAAATTTTACATACATTCAAACCTATTAATTCAGGGTTAACCTTTTCACCACCAGACTTTCTCACCCAAACTGTGCATTTTTTTCTTATTTATGTTCAGTATTTCTAGAAATGAAATAACATTGGAGCCAACAGACAAAATTTGAGTCAATTTTCAGTTTTTACTCAAAAAATCTGGCTCTTTTTGTCACAATCTTCTGAAGGAAAGTGCAGACTATAAACAGAATTATTTTGTGAATTTGTGATGGAAAGAGGGAACAGGTGGAAAAAAGGTTAATGAATTGCCTTAGTACGAGAATATAGAAATCCCAGCTGAATAGAGAACATATTTTGGAAACTCATTGGCCAGCCATCATGGCAACTGTATTTAAGATGCCTCCATGAAGTTCAAGCCCTGCACCTTGCGTGCGAAGATTGTACTTTAATCAAAACCTAAAGCTAATTATATAATTAAGTAACAGAGTATTTGCTTTGTTGAAAGTGCTGCAAGCATTTACATCAATTTTTTGAGTATATTAAACCTATTTTAATGCTCTTTTCTTTTCATATTTGCATACTTTGATTCAAGAATAAGAATCAGCTGAATAAAATGTAATACTGTGAAATACTTTATTTTAGCTGGAATTAATTTTCGTTGAAAAAGCATTTTGGGTGTTTTGTATGGAATTTATTTTCACTGATTTTTGATGAGTTGAATGTGAGACATAGGAAAAAAGTATATTTGCTGGATTTTATTTTCACTGAAGCATACCTTCAGCGTAAACAGCGAAAATAAATTCCAAGCGAAAATAAAGTATTTTACAGTAGTTGAAATGAACAGTTCAAAAGCATGAGCAACAAGATTTTTTTTTTTTTTGCAGTTGCACTTCTAACGGACAAGGTTTCAGTTGTCTCAAAAAACAGCTTAGAACATTTTGTTACAAAAGCAATAACAGGTTTACACTGAAATTCAATATTTATAATAACATTTTTAAATGAAAACCTGTTTTTCATGACCCTAATATCTACCTAATGAGCAGAACGTGACAATCGCACTGACCAACACAGGTATTTTCAGTGGCTCAATGTTTATGTTAATACATACTAGTCCAGAGGTTATTCAAAGGAATTTGGAGCTGTGTGAGTGAAAACTACCAAAACCTTTGATTTTAAAAAAAACTTCCACCTGTTACATAATCAGTCAAGGTTTTCTTAATTCTTTAATACAGAATAATGTAAAGCAACCTGGTAAACAAATTTAATATATTGACTATCAATATAGCTTGCAATTAGACTTTAATGATTAAGAAACCTTTTGCAACCAAGTTTAAATTCTGAGCCTTTTTAGAGAAGCCTGTGGATTGTATTATGTTCAAGTTTACTAGCCTTTGATAAGCACCTTCAGGTGTACTTAGCTGCAGTTGAATTGTATACATTGTATCAACTTGTCGCCAACTGGCCACTAATTGCAGGTAAACTAATGGACCCATTCTTATGGGTAAACAGAAGCAATGGAGAATGCAATTTAGATGCAACTAAAGAATACAGCTATGTTGCCGAGTACTACCATACAACAAGGACATAACATAGGTGACGACAGCTTTGAGGTGATTTCCTTACCTTGGCAAGGTATCAAGGCAGTGATGGCAATAAAAATCATAAGCCAAAACATGAATTATTGTTATTATCTCCCAAAGTGTGAAACATTTTAAGAGGATTATTTTTTCCAAGGCAACGACCATATTTAAAATATGGCTGTTTTTATTTCAATGATGAAAGAGACGCACCAACCCCAAAAATTAAAAATGATTTATGTAAGAAACCAACTCGTATATTTCAAAAATGTTATGGTCTACTCTTATTCAGTGAGTAGCTTGCTCATAAAATTTTAAGTGCTTTTTTCCAGCAAGAAAGAAACATTTCTATTATGTTGCATTATCAAAATTGTTACCTAAAATAGAAAGACAATCATTTTTTGTACACTGTTTGTTCACTTCTACAAGGCGAAGATTTTAATTTACATAATTTATTTATTTTGACGCTTTCTTTGTTTTTATTTTCAATGGTAGTTGTTTGTTTGGAGCAACATGATCCCTTTGTTGAGCATGACTTAAATTACAGGCTTATACAAACTCGAAGTATTTTGACAGAATAAAATAGAACCCGACCTTGACACTAAAACTTTTTAAACATACAGCTATTGCAACCATAGACCAAAACAAAGTTCTGTATCATGTAGCACGGCAGACAAAACGTTTGTGTAAGTATTTACTCAACTCACCTGTGCACTTGCTTTTTCTTGTTCATCCAGATAACGGGCTTTACGCTTGCGACGGAAACTCCGAAACATTGTCAGTGGTATTATGTTGAAAAACAAACTATGAATGAAAACGTTGTACACACGAATACGCTAACACATGGCAGAAATCAGAGCTGAAAACTCCTGACTGTAACGTAACCACTGTACTCCAACGTTTGCAACTGAAGCCGCCCGGTCTACTTGAAGACTGATTGATGTTTACATGTGACTCCAGATGACAACAATGGCTACAATATAAACCCTCATGTAGACAGCTATAGAAATAGACAAATCGGACTGTTTAACTGTCTGGATGAAAACGGAGACACTATTTCGGCACTTGGTAATGAGGATAATATTGTCATCTCAGCTGGAGCCAGACGGTATTCTGCACGTCTGGTGTTTATCACACACTTTAACACTTCAGATTCACAGTCAAATTCTCGAATGAATGAAAAACACTTTGAATTTGCGATAGTGTTCTTGGAAGAACAATAAAAAGCAATGCTCAGAGAAATACTTGTGATGTTTTTGTGATGAAATTCAAGACATTTGCTCAAAAATAGTTTGTCCTAAGTCCAGAGTCCCAGCATGAATGAATCAGCGCAAAGACACTTCACAATCAAGTGTTCAATTTCTCACACAGACAGGCAACAACATTATAGTCAGATTTATCAGTAGTTTTGAATAAAAACAACTCCAGTTTTCATCAAGATGATTTCTTCAGATGAATGTCAACAAAACTAGTCCAAATTCAAGCAAAGTTTCATTCACAAATTGTGTGTTTTCCTCCCCAAATAACAGGTTGATACCAACAAGTCTGCCAACAAGTGGAGAACTGTTACACTGCTGAGTTTGCTTAACCTACTGATTATTATCCTTGACCCCCTAGCTCAATTATATTTGATCTGTAAGCACTTCCTTTTGAATGAGTGTTTGATGTTTGTAAAAGTTCAACACGCTTGCAGAAACTACAACACGGGCGGAAAAAACACCTATATAAATACCAGACACCTGGATTTGTTCATGATAATAATAACAATACAATCAAATTCTTTTGCAATGAAGTCAGTCACAGGTGGCGAATACTATTTTCATTACTTTATGGTATGTGTTGAACATAATTGTGATTTCAGAAATACATGTTTGAAAATCCTTGAAAGTTTAATAGAGCATTCCATGTGAAGTATTTGTTGAAAATATTCAAATATAAATTGTTTTTGATAGAGTTTTTTTTTCTTTTAATATTTTACGAATTACATTACTGTCAGCAAAAAAAGTCGCTAATAATTTTTTTTTTTAACAAAACATAATTTTTATTTCTTTTTTTATTTACAGTAAACTTTTTTGTTAAAAGTGACATTAAAGATATTGAAGTC